GGGCCCCACCCCCCACACTGCAAGGTTTCAGTGCTCATTTTTGTCTAGGTTAAAAAAAAAGTTAAACTCAGCCAAAGCTCCAAATACGGCTTCTTCTTAGGCCGGTTCTTCTAACGTCTCTCCCCCTCCTCTGCAACGGTCTACGGTCCCGTAAGAAGATTCAAATGCTGCAGGGAGCAGGAGGCAGGCTGGAGGGAGCTCTGTGACAGCTGGCCAGCTTGGGGCTTCGGGTGAGTATAACTTTGTTTTTTTAGCACCTAAACACAAACGAGCACTTAAACTTTGCAGTGCGGAGGTAGCCCCACTGCAAGGGTTATTTAAACAAATTTAAGGTGTTTCATGCCAAGCCTTAAAGTCCATGTTTTGTGACAAAAACTCTGTTTTTAATGGAACCTATTAAAATGCCTTTGAATATAATGCAATGGCTGGTAAAGAAAGGGTGCAGCTACTCTAAGACAAACAAAGCTGAACTAGGCCTCTTGTGGCTCCAGTACAGAATGAGGGTGTCAGTGCTTACAGAGGCTTAGGCTGGGCACACACCTTACAACCATCGCAAGACTTTTGTCTTGTGATGGTTGTAAGGTACTTAAAAAAACGTACAATCTGCCTATGTTGCATAGGCAGATCGTACTTGCGATGATCGCAAGCCACGCCCCGAGGGGCGGGCTTCCGATGACCGCAATGCCGAACGGGCAGTGTGCGCTTGCGCACACCGGCCCGTGCGGCTGTTATCGTACGGACATGCCACAAACCCGCCGAACATCGTACGATGCTCGGCGGGTTTTCAAACATGTCCGTAAGTTTAAAGTCGTGCGACCTTACAGTAGTAGAGGTCGCACGGCTTCCACACACCTTACGAACATCGTACGATCGCGGGATTTCCCGCGATTATCGTACGATAATCGTAAGGTGTGTGGGCACCCTTACAATGACTACATATAAAGGCTCTGGATGTGCAAACCAGAAGGCGTAGTGGATGAAGTTTGATAATGTCATAATGCTTCATCTTCAAAATTGTTATCATATATTTAGGGCCACAACATACACCTGCACTATATGTTATTGAGTTTGAGAATGTGAACACTACCACTGTGACTGTAAAGGTGACAAAGCCATTTCAGCAATGATCTTGCACACATTTAAAACTTGTTCCATATAAATTATGGAGTTCTGTTTTAGAGCCTTGGTTCTCAACTGGTGGGTCGTGACCCAAAAGTGGGTCGCGACCCCATGTTCAGTGGGTCGCCACTTGCCTTCCACTTTTCTAGGTTTTTAATGTGTGTGTGTGTGTGTGTCAATGTTTTTGAGGGTCTGTTCTCACTAGTACAGTGCGTTGCGATTAATGCACTGTACCACACAACCTACTGTGCGTTCTTGTGTGGAAGGTGTTTTGCAATGCCTTTAATTCGAATGACACCCCAAACGCACCTCCCACCCATAGTCCGTATACCTGCATATGAACGCCCAGTACTGCAATCTCGTGCATTCCATTGCAGTGCGACTTGGGTTGAGACTAAATGACCGAGGACAAATGTGGGGCCTGAGGTTACACAGGTTGAGACCCACTGTTTTAGAGTAATGCAGGAGAGATCTCATTGGATCACTTTTTGTATCCTTTGAAAACTCCTGTGACCAGACACAGACCCTTTAATGATCATGTATAACCAGGGATAGTCATTCATTCTACACAATATGTACTGTATGTAATCAATGTGTACCTTAAAAAGGATCCTACTGTTATATACCGTTATATGGTACTGTCACTTCCAACGTGTTTTAAAACCTGCAAGTTCATTGGCTGTCATTCCTATGCATTCTCATTCTTCAGCCTGTGGGCTAGACAAGAAAAAATCAATAGTTTCACTTATCCACATTTTAGATGGTGGAATCTCTACTGCTGTATTCAGAAGCTGCAACACCTGCAGCTTCCTGAATAGCCAAACAGGGATTGGAACTAGCAGTATGCAGTCACCATTTGGCTGATAATTTTCCACCGACCGATTTTTAAATCAACTTTTGTTGAGCTGGGTGGTGCTGACAGGATCACCCACGCCTTGAAGTTTGGCCAATTCAGCAGGAACGGACAGAAGTTTGAGCTGCCTATGGCCAGCTTTAGCCTCCGTATTTACTTCTTACCATATAACAGAGACAAAATACCAAGGCAGCCAGTGAATTTAGAACTCCTGCGATGGGAGATTGACAATGGCAGTTGCAATATTTGTAACAAAATGTTCCCTTCAAACTTTGTATTAACTGGTTGAGATTGGATTGATCCAATGTATATTTTGTAATACCAGCTAAATAAATTTAATATACAAAAAAGATCAGATGACAGGTACAGAATATGCAAAGTCCAGTCTTATATATCATTTCAGCCTTACTGCTTGACTTTTTTAACCAGTCTAGCTTTCATATACAGGCATTTTTTTGGAGATCTACAATAACTCCATGGCTATAAAAACATTTAGAAAATTGGATGTTACCCCAGTGAGCATAATTAGTGCACAAAATGTCAAATATAAAACTTTACCTCACAGTACTTCACGTAAATCTCTATTTACAACATTATATTTGAAAAATAAAATATACATCAATTTATAAACTCAAGTACTTAAAAAAATGTAAAAGACAAAGAGATGGAAAAAAAGCCTGAACTGCAGAGCACACACAGTGTAACATACAAGTTTTATTCTGAGTGCAGGATAAAATGCTTCACACTTAAAATATAATGCAAATTAAATGCAGTATAATCCGCTACTCCAATATTGATTAATTTGACTGACATATGTTAAGATCTTCTCAATCAAATGACTTTTTAGCAATGATAGCTAGTGCTGTGTTTTGTAGTCAGTGACATTATCATTAGTAAATTCAACAGCAGTTGGGATTTCTCAGTGGCTTAGTTGTATTCCAGTGGTTAAAAAAATTAACCGGTTGGGAATATTCAAACAAAAGTTGCAATTACTAAGTGACTACAACCCAGAAATAATCTTGTACTGGTCTGGCTTCTACATATACTCACCTCCCTTCACTCTATCGCTGCTCGGTATGCTTGGAGTAATATGTAGTATTTCTGAGTATGGGTGAGCATGTGTCTCGCTCCATACCATAAAACAGCACCAGGTGCCTGAGTGACTGCCATGCAACATCAGGGAGAGAGTCCTAAGAGCTTGTTCACACAGGTGTGCACGCTTGTGCAGAGACCTGCTCCCAGGAGGGACAGGTGCTGCGTGTAATTGTGTGTAACCCTGTGCAGTCTGCACATGGTTACATACCAACATCAGTGCGGGTTTGGGAGCCCCTACTTAAATGCACATTGTCTTCACTATATGAGAGATTCAGCCATGCTGACTGCTGCAAGTCTGAAGGGTAACAAATATATATCGTTTAAAGCATTCTTTGTTATGCTGTGCGAAACGAAACACAATTATACAGATGGGCTTTCCTTTGACTGCAAAAGGGGTAATACACTTTAAGTTCCAACCAGATTGAGGTCAAAACTATTTCCTCAGGTTTTAGTTAGCACGGTGCCAGGTTACTAGACCTCTAATTTATTTAAAGTTCATTAAAAATAAAATGTAGCTTGTATATATATATAGCAATTAGTCCCTACACATAAGACTCTACATTTTTTTTGAAGTTCAAGTGTTCACATTGCTGATCAGAAACACAAATATTTGAAGTCACTATAGGATTTCAAATTCGGGAATGATCCTGCCGTCTACCTCCCTTGACAAATATCATGCAGAGGGCTCCCAAACCTAAAAGTCCGACTCTGGGCTATTTTTTTCTCTTATATGCCCCCTAGGTTGTGTTAAAGAAAAAGCTAGGCTGCAATATTCACCTGTAAACCAGATCTGCCTCCCACACTTTTTCGACCACAGGATGTTCTTAGTCCTCAGCTCAGTGACCCTCAACCTGGAGACTGAGAAAAGACTATGAGTGCAGTGCAACATGGCCCCACTCCCTAAGCACTCCCTTCGCACTACCAGCATAAAGAAGCAGAGAGCGGTGCAGATGATCTCATGTCAGCACTACACTCTACATTATCCAGGGCCAATAGGAGAAGACTGACAAGGGAGGGGACACAGTACATAATGTGTCTGGCAAGAAGACATACCAAAAAGGTGTGGGGCATGGAGATTCACAAGGTCTCTGGTAACAAGTGGAGCCCTAAACAGTTCTGCATAAAAGGGACTGGAGCATTAGGAAACATTCTGATTCCCAATGTATACCTACTTTTGGGAATCCTTCAGAAACGGTTTGGGGAGCACTGATTTACTTAATTCTATATTTGCTGATTTACACTGCAAAGCTAAAATACTTTAATAAAAAATAGGGTGGACATATGGAACCATTATTGAGTGGTCTTCCACTGGGTGACTAAGCCACTGATTCACTGCTACTAAATCTTGCTATAGGAATTTATCAAAATGATAGTTGTACAACATAATATTTTTTTTAAATAAAATTATGATTATACAATGTTGCAATTTTTAAACTATCAATCAATTTGCTGGCCAAATACATGTAATATACATATACTTATATATTTATACTTATCAGTGTGGAAGCATTACATCTGCTCTCAAAGTATGTGTCTGATTTTGCATACTAAAAAAAAAGGAAAAAATAAAACACAGAGAAATCTAGTATAATTGCCCAAGCAGCCCATAACATGATCTTTTTAGTCCAGTCTGGTACAGTAAAGGTACAGCCAACTTTAGTGGTTAAAAAATACAGTGAATTATAGCAGTAAAACAACAGCAAAATAAAATGGTCCCTTACTAAAAACAAAATCATTCATTTCTGTATACATCTCACCACCATAAAACATTTCAAACATGTACATTACTATAAAACACATATATTCACTGCCAACAGGTAATGAGAGGTCCTTCACCCTGTAATTTATAGAGGTAAAGAGAAACTATCTTCAACACCGTCAGCAGTTGTCATGGATACCATGTAAAGCTTAGCGCTGATGGCAGGGTGTAAAGCTATAGGAATTCCACATAGTTTTCAGGTATGAGTCCAGTCTTTCCGTTGAGCGTCCCTTCTAACCAGCCTGGCTCCTGGGATGGGTGAACTGAGCAGGAAAAATAAGCAGAAAAGGGTTACATATAGAAAGGCCTACTTGCTGGCAGATCTAAGTATACTTCGATCGCAACAGAACTGCCTGCACCAGGTAACCCCTATTTCCACTGCATTTTCTAAGCCTTTAAGCTCATGGTCACTTCAGCTGCAGCCAGTGCCCCCCTTTAATTTCTGGCCTTTTCCCCCACTTCTTTCTGGCATTTTGACAGTCAGGACTTGTATAGTAGTACAGCAGCTGCAGGATCAGCCAGTGTTAAACACGCAGTACAAACAAGTAATAATATGGGGTGCTTCTGAATTGCCTTTGACTAGAGTTTACAAACACTCCTCAGACATGATTTAGAAATAATACAATATAACATTATTACGTTGCATTTACTCAGTATCATTCATATGAAAATCAAAAGAGTTACATTTGCATATGATGTCAGTTAAAGCAGTGTTACAAGTAAAAAAAAAAAAAAAGTTTCTTTCAATAAAATGTGTTTCTATTTAACACCTTATTACCCCCTAGCAAACCTTAATCAGCCATAATTAACACCTTCCACCTTTGCCTTCCATTAATACTTCAAGGAGAATTATGTTCCTCCAGGGCTGACTGGAGGAACGGACAGGGAAGGGGGTGGGCACAGCTGGCTCTAGAGAGGCAGAGCCAGCTGTCAATCAGGAAGCGGGGTGGATCCCGACAATACTGTCAGGATCTGTCCCGGTTGCAGCGCGGTTCTGCACTGTCAGCACATGTCCTCCTGTGACCCTAAAGAGAACTACGGCCAAAAAAGGTTGGGCCATAGTTCTCTTTTAAACTTTTTTTTTCTTTTTTGTTGTTGATTTCTGCAGACAGCCTGTAGTCAGTGGATCTGCTACGTCCCACTCATATCTCTGCTCTCTGTACAGGTTACGTGCAGCACTACTTTTACAAGGTTATATAGGTTTGCAAAGACATTTGGTGCATGCAACATGGATTTAGATTCCTTTGTCTTTCAATCAAAATGCTCTATGCCTAAAGTTCAGCTTTGACCTCTATTCTATCACTCTGTAATCACGCAGATTAACATAAGTAAAAAAGGCAAAATTCTCAAATTGCTAAAAATAATGTATTGTTTATATACCAAATATATCCCCCATTACTAAACACTGGCAAATGCATACAAAAATTTAAATAGGCAACGCTGCTATAATATTTTGTAGGAGGGTGAAGATGAATTATGACTGGGTAGAAAATGCTACACTTATATGAACTCTTACAGAAATACATTAGGGGCTCAGGTTAGTCTGGTTTTGGCTCATTTGTATGTCTAGGGATCACAGACACTTGGTACATAATTCCATTCAGCCGTTATAGAACATTGATTTGGTTTACTGAAAAAAATATATATTTTAGGTTAAAACCTAATTTGGATTGACCCACTCTCTGCTTTTTCCATATTAATCATCTATCTGTTGCAACACAACATCTGGGTCACTGCCTGGGCTTATTTTTATTAACCTGGAAGGACCTCTAGCCATATTTTACCCTGATGCTTTCTTTGCCACGGATCTGAGGACTAAGCACTAATAGTTATTGAACTGCATTCATCTTTATCCATAGGAAAACATTATAAATCAAACGCTATATACTATTCTGTAGCATTCTGGACACGCATTTATAACCGCAGTCAAGAGGGGAAGAAAGATGTGGCTAAATCACTCATTAGTAATTACAACCACAGCAGTCTGTGCAGAACTGTTAAAGGGGGACAGCCATAAAGGGACCCAACAGGAAAGTGTGAGCTTGTAAGAGACCCCTCTGTCTGGCAGCCTACAGATCTATTCAGCCAGTAATCATATTTGTCAGTTTCTGAGGTTAAAATTACTCTTTATATAGTACAGTTTTGCAAGTAATTTCCAGTTACATCACCACTTGCTACATGTCTAATATACCATAGACAGACTGTCCTTCCAAAGTACATAACACTGCTGTTTTTACATTTAGTGATATTCATTTATAAGGGTGGAGAAAAATTGTTGCTAAAACGATATGCATGCAAAATGGGTTATGTCTGCAAATTTTACTGAACACTTTACAAACCATAAAAGCTCTATTATATGATGCAAACAGGTTTATTTAACTCCTTCACAACCAGGGGTAAGTTAAAATGTTTTGATTTTGCAGCTTTGCTATGCAAAAGAAGGGGGTAAAAACACTCAGGGATTTCAGCGTGATCTGGGAGCAGATCTGGCTGATGGGACAGCATAAGGAAGGCAGGAAGGAAAGAATTATAGCCTACCTATTGCGTTTCCTAGTAAGCAAAGCTGTTAATTTGAGACTTATATGTGCAGAAGTGAGAGAATTTGAAGGAAGAACACAATTCCTACTTGCCACAGGATGGTGACACATTGGAACACATTTTCACATTGCCTTACAATAGTCTATTCCCTGGCTATTGATTCAGTAGAATTCAGTATTTAGTAGTATACTATAATAGTATGCTATTAATACAGCAGCATGTAGATGCATATACAAAAATAATTTTTTTTAAATGCTGCCCTACTCCCTATTACTTCAGTTTACTTTGAACGCTTTTGGTGCATTTGGTTAAAGGACGTGGGAATACCACATGTTGCTGACACTGGGTTGTACTTGAAAGCCTGTACAGAGTGACTATTTATTTTTCTGTTCAGGACACTTGGGTTTAGAGAGGTTTACAGGTTTTATTAGTAGGCTTTCTTCTGTACTTCTGGTAAATTTACATGTGAGGATATCGTGATGTTTCAACAAGAAAAAAGTGTCTTAAGATGAACAAGTAGAACCTGATCACAAATGAACAATTTCATGACATTGGTGCTGGTAGACCAACCATAAAAGTCCAAATACTGCTAATTACAAAAGATGATATGGGTACCATTCACACAACCCACACTGATCATTTACACTCACGATGTGTTGCACATCATACAGGCTAAAAGTAGAAAAATCCTTTAAAATGTGCTTCTCCATAGTAAAAAGGGTTAACATAAAATATGACAGCTGTTTTGGACAGGACAAATTCTACTGAATACGGTTAGGAACAGGAAAGATTTAACTGCTATTTTTTTTTTACACTTGTCAGGTTACATCTTCAGTAGCACCACAAGTAGAAAGGATAAAAATAACTTGACTATATGAATATTTTAAACAGGAACAGGAGTTCAAAGGTATACATACAATGACAAAATAACATCAAGTGAAAAATATTTTAAACTTATTAATACCTAAAATACCATTACAGACAGAGTAGCAATGTTGAGTCATATTTGATGGACTGCAGTCTTTGTCAGCTATACAACAGGTGTGTCTGTCAGTGGAGGACTAAGCTGGGTGGCAAGGGTATGGCAGGCTACAGTTTTCTCTCAGTACAGGTTTCTTTTAATGATACAGGTTTACAAAGAAAGCTTTGTAAACCTCCTGGGATATCCCCAACATACAGTACATAGCAAAAGTTTAAGGCAGGTGTGAAAAAATGCTGTAAAAGTAAGAATGCTTTCAAAAATATATATTTTTATTGTTTATTTTTTTTAATCAATTTGCAAAAAGCAAAGTGAATGAAAAGAAGAAAATTCTGAATCCAAAAAAATATTTAGTGTGACTACCCTTTGGCTTCAATTTTACCAAGAAGGTGCTAATGATCATCAATGTCATATGTAGGTTGAAACACAGTCATTAAAGTGACATTAAACCCTCAGTTTTTTTAACATAAACCAATACTGTAATGTGTGCCTTACTGTAATCCATGGTAGTTTCCCTTCTCTTTGCTGCTCTTCCTTTTAAATCCTCATGTCTTCTCATGCTTGGGGAGAACTTCCCTTTTCAGCTCAGGGCCTCTTCCTGTAGTGCTGGCTCAGGTTACAAACCTATACACAGACACCATATATCCATTCCTGAGACAAGGCAGTCTGCTGCAAAACAGAAGTTCTGCCCAGCATGAGAACAGATACAGATTTAAAAGGAAGAGCAGCTAAGAGAAGGGAAACAACCATGGATTACAGTAAGGCACACATTACAGTATTGTTTTATGTTAAAAAATCTGAGGGTTTAATGTCACTTTAAGGTAAAACCGAAACAGCTGTGTAGGAGGCTTAAAATTGGTGAGGGACAGCCAAACTCTGCTGCTAAGGTGAGGTTGTGGAAGACAGTTATGTCACAGGTCATACACCATGGCAAGACTGAGCACAGCAACGTCTCTCCCAGGCAAATATTTTAAAGCAGACTGGGGTTTCAAGATGTGCTGTTCAAGCTCTTTTGAAGAAGCACAAACAGGCAATGCTGAGAACCATAGACGTAGTGGTCGGCAACGGAAACTTAATGAAGCAGATGAAAGACACATCATGTTTAGTTCCTTTCGACAATGGAAGATGTCCAGCAGTGCCATCAGGACCGAACTAGTGGAAACTAGTGGGACCCAGGTACACCCATCTACTGTCCGGAGAAGTCTGGCCAGAAGTGGTCTTCATGGAAGAATTGCGGCCAAAAAGCCATACCTACAACGTGGAAACAAGGCTAAGCGACTCAACTATGCACAAAAACATAGGAACTGGGGTACAGAAATGTGGAAGCAGGGGCTCTGGACTGATGAGTCAATATATGAAATATTTGGCTGTAGCAGGAGGTAGTTTGTTTGCAGAAGGGCTGGAGAGTGGTACAATAATGATTGTTTGCAGGCAACAGTGAAGCATGGTGGAGGTTCCTTGCAAGTCTGGGGCTGTGTTTCTGCAAATTGAGTTTGAGATTTGGTGTCCTCAATGCTGAGAATTACACACAGATCCTTATCCACCATGCCATAACATAAAAGACGCGTGTGATTCCACTTGTTTTGCCATCCTCCCTTCCTCCTAACCTCCCTATAAATGGAAATTATATTGCAAAGCATACTGTATGCTGGATGTTAAGTTGGTTATGTTATATGCATTTTGTTATGTATGCTTCACTTGACTTCAATAAAGAACTATTGAAAGTTAAAAAAAAAAAAAAGACGCGTGTGATTGGCCCCAAATTTACTCTACAGCAGGACGACAACCCCAAACATACAGCCAATGTTATTAAGAACTATCTTCAGTGTAAATAAGAACAAGGAGTCTTGGAAGTGATGGTTTGGCCCCCACAGAGCCTTGATCTCAACATCATGGAGTCTCTCTGGGATTACATGAAGAGACAGAAGGATTTGAGGCAGCCGACATCCACAGAAGATCTGTGGTTAGTTCTCCAAAATGTCTGCAACAAACTACCTGCCAAATTCCTTAAAAAACTGTCTGCAAGTGTACCTAGAAGATGTTGATTTGATTTGGATTTCTCTTCTGTTCATTTACTAGTCCATTTTGTTAGTTGATAAAAAGAAACTATTAACATCTTTATTTCTGAAAGCATTTTTTCACACCTGCCTAAATCTTTTGCACAGTAATGTATATCCCAAGAGGCTGCAGGAGTAGGGACACAGAGGGAAGATGCACATAGGGGGCTGACAGTCTGAACCAGAAAGAAAAACAAAGACACGTCCGAAGGAGTTTTACTGGTAATAATCCTTTTTTTGTTACCAAAAAAACTCCTTTGAACTCTTCATTTGGTGGCGCCTCCTTTTTTTTTTGTTTGAATCGATTTCTCCAGGGCCCCCTTCTGCCCTTCGTGGGTTCCCTATAGGTGGAAGTAGACCCACTATCGAGCAATCGGGCCCCACAAAAGAAACCCATATTGCAATCATTGGCCGTTTTCAACCAAAGACCACAGTGCCTTTCACTTTTCCTCGCATTTGAACCAGGAAGATGAATAAGGAGTATTCTGATCGGCAGTGTGGGGCCTAGACGGTGTCACCTGATCAGTGGATTGCAGTGGAACAACACTAAAACCATTAGGCAGATGAGTATGTGAAATGTAAGTAAATTAAGCCAAGCTATGTACCTGCATCATGCCACATTACATTAGAGTTTGGCTTGCAAAAATCCTTTATAGGAAATTAGCATGCAAATATCCATGTGTTACTAATACTGGAAAAAAAACTGTTCCATGTGGCCGTCATTCAATAACATTTTGTTCACGTAACCAGGTATCAACTACACTACACTAAATAGGAGCAGACACCAAGGTTCTGGTTATTCTGCTGCTGGGTAGCTTAGTGCTCTTTACTGGTAATACTCTATTTTAAATGTCTACATGTCTACAGGGCTCCTCCCCCTGAATAAGAAGCTTGCTCACCCTATAATATTTCAAGCCTCGCATTGGCATACCATTGTTCCGTAATGGTTTTATAGTTGTTTAATTTTAATCTTGTTTTAACATTAAATTTTGTTTTAAATATATCTATCCACCCGTCATAGTCCATACCAGCTGTGCGCTCGCCTTTCTTTGTGTTTTAATACTCTATTTTAACCTGCTACTGGGTAACTGAACAAACAAAGATCAGTACATAAAGCTCCAAACGTAAACTGACTCAGAAGGTGTGTGAGAGGTGCTTATGTGAGCCACTATTGCACAGTAATAATCCCCCTCTGAAAGCAACAGAGAATGAAATCACAAAGAAGGGTCAAAAGGGAGTATGCGTGATGTTGAAGGGAGACATAAAGGGTAACCCAAAAGTCACAATATATTGTAAGTGTAGAAGAGCAGTTCATTCATCATCACTGGTGTGACTGTATGTCAGTATACACCAGTTTGAATTCAAATGTGTAGAGTTGGTTGTAAGTGTGCTTTCATGTACATTGATGTGTACACAGCCTTGAATTGATGAAATAAAGGAAACAGTGGTAAACTGAAAGACATGTTACCTTGGAAATAAGACTGGTGTGCACTTAGGGCAAAATACATATCAATATGATGAAATGTAATAGTGACTCACCGTTTTCGAAGAAGGTTCCAGCTGTGAATGAGAGTTCAGAGTCGTGCTCGGCTTTACATGCATACAAGGCCTTTGCTTTCCTTGGCAAACTAGAAAATCAGAATTGCACAGGTTAATTACCTTTAGAGTGACAGCATTAGTATAAGTATATTTACAGAGAATTGAAATACAAAAACAGACTGCAATGAATTAGGCCAGGGGTAAGCTAACTCCAGCCTTCCTGCTCTGGTGAAACTACAAATTCCATCATGCATCTGCCTCTGGCAGTCATGACTGTGGTTGTCAGATTCTCGTAATGCATAATGGGATTTGTAGTTGCACCACGGCTGGAGGGCTAGTAGTAGCATGGTGAAGCTGTTGCTCTTGCCTTAAAGTGACGCTAAACTCAGGAGTTAAATCTTAAAAAAGCATTCAAGTACCTTAACTATTAACAAAAATGTAGCTGATTTTGTATCACTCAGCTGTAGGTCATCAAATCATCTCTGAATTCATGCTGACACTGTCCTTCTGGAGGGTGGCGACTTTCGTTACTCATGTTCCTTGTGTGTCTTTTAAAGTAGACACTGCTCCAAACTCGCTCCCGTGATGGACTAAATATACAAATTAGTAGTGAGATTATAGTCTATCACAGGAGTGAGTTTGGAGCGGTGGCTACTTTACAACACACAAAGGGATCATGGGAAACAAAAGTAGCCACCCTCCAAAAAGGAAGGACAGTGTCAACATGAATTCAGAGATGATTTGAGGATCTACAGCTGAGTGATACACAAACAATCTACATTTTTAATAGTTCATGTAGTTGAATATTTAACTTCTGAGTTTAGTGTCACTTTAAAGCACTGACTTTCTAAATACAGTGTTCAAACGATTACACAGGTCTGCAAAAATTTTTTTTATTCCCCACACACTTGCCAACCATGGTCTTCATATTTAAGTTTACGAAGAACCAATTCCAAGTTCTCGTAGGTTTCTTTCAAGTGTACGGAATGGCCTACAGGTATGGAAGCGTAAAAACCGTTGTGGAGTAAAACTGCTTTGAGACTTCTTTTTGAAGAATCTATAAAAAGACGCCATTGCTCTGAATCATATTGGATTTTAAATTGACCCATCAGACCTACGACATCGATGCAATAAACCAACTTGTCTTCCTGGGCGAAGTAAGGAACGAACTCCTTTTCACGATGTCTGAACCATGAAGATGACACTCCTGGCAACAATAAATTCCTGCTTTTCAGCCTTGATCCGAGTAACTAAGCGGCATCTTTGGGAAGATTCAAGTCTCTTACCAAATCATTCATCTCCTCCTGAGAAATCCTTGTATCATCTTCAAAGTCAGAACTTGATTCGTCATCTGGTTCAGGTATGACTTCACCTTCATCGGAGCTAGGTATCTCTTCCAAGGTAGCAGGGGGCTTGGGTACTGGTATATCTGTGCCATGGGGGATGGGACGAATTGCTGAGTGAAGATTGGGGTATGAAATGGAATGCTTCCATTTGGAATTAAACCCTTTCACATCGCATGAACAAAAGTAACAGTCATCACTATGGTTCTTTTGCTCTCGCCATACCATAGGAATCCCATAACGGAAAGATTTTTTCTTACCCTTGAACCAGTTTCGGAGGTCCTCAACACACCGTTTGCACACAAGGCAAAAAGGTATCCACCACAAGGCAAAACGGGGGGCAGGGGGCGGCAAAACGCAGCTCCCAAAATAGGTGCGGCAATGCGTGCCGCACAGAATCAAGCAGTCTCAGCTGCCTAATCAGGCAAATTAGGAGGCCACTCGGGTCTCGCAGCTGCCTAAGAAGTCTCAGGTATGATATGCGAGGTTTATGGTGGGCTATGCAGTGAGCTCTACAAGGTCTCAGGTGGGCTATGCAGGGTCACAAGAGACCATTTACAGCCCACCTGAGACCCAGGCTTCCCTGCTGTGCCACTAACGCAACCTGCCAGAGGCACGTTGTACCCAGCGACTGACAGGTTACGCAAAATGTCTTATACAGGGAGGGGTGGGGCAAATTTAGATTGGGTGGTGCCCGAGTGTAGTCTTGCCTAGGGCAGCACAAATCCTAAATACACCACTGATGTCAGGTACAATGTGTGCAAGCCTCCATTCCGACAGCCTGCTAGTTTCTATAATAGACACAGGTTTTTTTATGCACACTGTTTCACTTTTGGAAAGTTTAGTGCTGAGAGGTGACACCTCTATCTGACACCTTTATCCACTGTAGAAAACAAGTGTGCCTGAGGTGGACACTTTTACATGTTATGCACTGAAATGCTGAATTGCTCAGACAGTCCTCAGCACAGAGTCAGACGGTCATCAGAACATGCCCTAACTTGCCCCCAAAAAAGAAAATAATCAAGCTGCTGAATCAGGAAAACCTGCAGCAAAAAGTAGGTTCAGCTCAGCACAGATGCACAAAAAAAAGATTCCAATGCATTCAGCTGCCAGACAATCAAAAACCCTTACTGACACCTCCCTCGAAATAATATTAAAAAGTATTTTCAGCTGCATAAATCTTTAGGACACTTTTTAGGTACACCAATCAGTTATGCTATGGGATTCAATTTTTTTTTATTACTGGTATTAAAAGGTCTTGTGTGTGCCAAAAATTCCCTGCAACAGCTTCAGCACAAATCATACAAGCCAGAATCAATCCATGAATTCAGACTGTTTATTCCTAATGAGTCTGAATTCATGGATTGGTTCTTCTTCTGATTTTCAGTTGTCTAGTACTGGTAAGTCTGTGCCCATGATGGCCTCATATCGCTGGAGCGGAGGTGAGTTTAGTTCCTTAATGCACGTTTATATTCTGTGTGCAAAAAAGCATGTGTAATAGAGGTGCTTCATTTTTAAAAATGATGCTGGGGTTTACGTCTGTGAGACTGTCACTTGTAAAACTGTTATTAAAGCATAATAGGGGGGGGGGTATCAAAACTGGATCAGACTCAGACATAATCCAGAGAGTATATACAGCAAGTAGACTCAGCTTCTATTTAACCTGTAAGCCATTCCCACTCTTAGACGTGTTGTGGCCACACCAACCATTCAGCACAATTGTCATTTTCAGTTTCATCTCAACAGATACGCACTCTACAGCGGTGTAGAGTGCGGCAGGGCACAGTGATAGAGGTGGAGAATAGACGTCATATAAAAGGCCAAGCTCCATTCCTTAATAAAACATCCAAGGACCCAGTTTGAACATTTAACGAATTCTGCTGTTTTGCTGATACTCGCTCCATGGCTCCGAGCGACAACAATCATCCCAAGTTAAATCATCCCGTTCAAAGGCTGTTGTAATTACTGCAATTACTTTTGCATGATATTCTAATTATTCGAGTTTCACCTGTATATATAATTTGTCCCCAGCAAATTAGCTGATAATATAACATGTTACTTATGGAAGGTCCATCTCTGTTCCCTGACATAAATTTGCTAGCAAATGAGGTGGAAATACTTTGTAGTATTTGAAAAGTCAACCTGTTTCTCAATATCTAACATCAGCCTAGCTAATGAGGGGCTGTTTTTGACACAATATAGTTGCAAGGAGCTTCTCCTAAACCCCAGGAGCCATGTAAAGCCCATTGCACCCAATACATTTTGCCAAATGTTTAGATTTTTGCAGAAATGTTGTAAATGTGTGAACTCTCAGTTTTGTTCACCCCTATTCATCAACCAGCTCTTCGGTTCTTCATGGGATAAAAAAGCAATTTATGAGAAATAAAAGCTTTTACTGAAATAGCCCTCCCGTACGGATTCCATACCTAGGAAAATGTTTACTACTATGTTTGCGAAGTTATCATTTTGTTGAGAAAAGTTGGAATGAAAAAAAAAGTACTTGTAACAACACCTGCTGCTTAGTGGATTGACTCGAACAGATTAATAAGAAATCTTTATGGCATTGAGTCAGTTATAACCAGATTTGTAGATGCTGCCATAAGAAAACTGACACTGTATTTTTTTCTGCATTGATAAAACATAAAGCTGGTTTTCAACCCATGTGAAATGACACCTTGGTAATGAATTAGTATTACATTTTTATGTGCACCTTTATACCACCACTGCTGTAGAAATAAAGAGAAATAATTTTGCCTATAAATTGGTTATACTTCAGGGCTGCCAAAGGAATGGTTGCTGAGAGACATTCTTTAATTAAACAAAACTATTGCTGCACATATTTTTAAATATATTGTTATTTTAATATTGCAAAATAATATATAGTATACTAGCAAAAATATAATTTTTCCTAATATACTAGATCAGGGCTCAAAATTTCAGGTTCTGAACTATTAGCCAGTCCTTAAGAGTTATTCGCCACCAGTTGCCCCACCTAACCCCTACCCTGCCCTGGCCTTAACTCCTCCCCTAACCACACCCTCTTAAATTATCACAATGTAATAAATATGATATTTCCTCCACAAAAGCACAATGCTCTGTGAAGATATAACGTGTCAGCAGCTGTGAAGAAGTGGTGGAAACCTCTGACTTTTTCTTTTACTAAGCAATATATATTCTCTCCATATAGCATATTGACTGGGGGGGGGGTTGGACACAGTGGGTTTAACACTATTAGTTATATCTCCATGGAACATTGTACTTTTATGCAGGAAATATCATATTTATCAAATTCTGCGTTTACTGTGATCCCAGTTTTTCTTATATTCACATTTTTGTCGATAAATGGACTTTTCTGTTTTACTTTTCTCTCTTCAAAGGAAACTTTGTCAGTCCAGCAGTGGTGTGAGCGTGTCTGTCAGCGGGGCAGCATCAGCATGAGACAGAGAGAGTGTAAGCCCTAATACACCGGCTGAATTTCCACTCGCCCTCACTTCATTTCCACTCGCAAAATGCGAGTGGAAATTTTGAGCTCTGTACTAGATATTAAATATCACAATAACAAAAGCTCCAAAGTGTCATATTACCTAAATACACTGCAATAAAGTGCTAGATTTTGAATAGGTACAGTAGATTGTGACTACAAACACTGCTGCAAGAGGGAAGTCTACTCCAGAAAAGACTACCCATTACCCACTCCCTTCTGGACCTTAAGCCAATTAAAACCACCATACCACTTTTCCAAGTAG